CCCCAAAACCCCAAAACCCCAAAACCCCAAAACCCCATGATGCAGATTTTAATGCGTAATATAGTTACTTAATTATGCATATTTTAAATCTTGGATTTAAGAATTAATTTAAACGTTATCAATCATTAGTTATTGTTTTTATTTGTACTAATTATCAAAATTTAATTTAGAATTTTATTAGAGAAAGGAATCGAATGATAGAAGGAAGATATAAAATTATCAAGAAAATGGGCGAAGGTGCAAGTGGATCAGTTTGGAAAGCTTAAGATCTTTAAACCGGATAAAAATAAGCAGTTAAATATGTAAGAATTTTGATCATTAAATTTGTAGCAAAATTATAACGAGGAATTCAAAACAGAGAGAAATATTTATTAAAGATTTGCTTAATAAAGTATTTAAGGATTTCCAAAGTACATAACATCCATTAGAACATCTTAGGATAAAGCACTCATAATCTTTGAGAAGATGGGACCATCACTACAATGGTTTATGAGTTAGAAAGGGAGATCGAAGCTTACATTTAAAATAGTTTGCGAAATCGGAATTCAACTTGTAAGCATATATATTCACAATAATGTTTTGCTAGGTTAATCAAATTGAGTAATTGCACTCAATCGGATACGTACATAGAGATATTAAGCCAGAAAATATTTTGCTTAAAAATAAGACTGAGATTTTTTCTTTATCACCATAGCTTAGCATAGTGGATTTTGGAGCAAGCAGGAAGTACCTAAATGAATAAGGATTTCATTGTAAAAACTAAATTGAGAGAACATTTTTTGGGAATTTTGCATTTGCCAGCCTCTATCATATGCTAGGTTAAGGTAAATATCATACTAATTAATATCATTATCTAGCGCCATCAAGAAAAGATGATTTGATCTCTATAGTCTATATGTTAATGCATTTAAAAGGATATTAATTGCCGTGGATATCATTAATAAGTGAATCAACTAAAAAGAATCTATATGAAGCAGTAGTAGATCTTAAGAAATAGTTTCATTAGAAAAAAGAGAGAACATTTTCTCATGATGATCGTATGTTTAGTTAGTTGATTTTATAATTTTTTAGATAGTCTAAGAAATCTATTCCAGTTAATTGATTCAATAAATTTTGATGAGAAACCTGATTATGCACTAATTATTAGTATTCTGCAAAGATAGCTATCAGAATTAGAAAGAGCAAAATAATCACAATAATGGAGGTCAACTACTACTTAAAACGATAGCCCTCATTCAGGATCTCCTTTCACTTAATGCTATCTTTCCTCCCAGAGATAAAATTTTTAGTAATTAGAACTTTATAATTCAGAGGAAAAGGAAAGAAATAATAACTAATCTTGTGGAAGCTATATTTTAGCCATTAAACAAAGTAAGTCATCTAATAATCATGGTAAAAATGGAGATGCATCAGTTAAACAATTATCATAATCTGATGCAAAATCTAAATAATATCTACAAATATTACAAAAGAAGGATCATGAAATGCAGAGCAACTCTGTATGTAGAAAGAATTAAAACGATAATGAACAAGACCAGCTTTTAATTAAATTTGTTAAAGATGATCAAGTTAAAATAGATCATTTTTATAAAAGGGAAAGCTTGACTAATTTAAGATCATCATCAAGTGATTAAGATCGACCTAATCGAAAATCGAAGTTCTATCAACTTCATTTAGTTAATAAGATAAGCAATAATGTTCCAAAACATGAAGTTGATTAGTAGCCATCTAGTAATATTGAGCTTAAATAGGATGCAGAATAAAGAATAAGTTATTTCAAAAAATAATGCAAAAAAGATCAACTTAATAACTTCCAGCATCAGTAACAAATATTAAGTCTAGAAGAGTAAGATGATTCTCTCGAAATTAATGAGGAAATAACATTTATCGCTGCAGACATCTCTGAAAACATCAATGAAATTTTCCAAAATTCAAAATATAATTTTGAATGCCATCCAAACAATTTAAAGGTTATTAACAAAAATGTCGTTGGCATTAAAAGTAGTCGTAAAAATAATTAATAATAATAATGATAATAATCAACAAGTAAGTTTGCACAAGAGAATATTAATTAATTGATTTCCAAAATAGTTATTTAATATATAAATGATTGATTATTTATTTAAAAAAGTTTTATTAATTTACTTAAAATAGCATCGCGGGGTTTTGGGGTTTTGGGG